AAATGCCCCCTTCTCAGATTCTCTAATCTGTCCAAATTTACTTACTACCTTCAGGTTCCAACAGAGTGAGAAATACAACATCAGTCACAGAAAAAAACCTAGAAGGTGGTTTTACTGGCAGTGAGGATAGGAAATGGTGTCAACAGACGGCAGCATACTTACAGTAATAGGAGGGCATACCAAGTGGGTCTTGTTTTTTTTTTCCTTTTTTTTTTTTAAATAGAATCACAAACTTATATTGAGGGAAATATTTTAGAATGAGTCTGACAAAGTATCTCACAACATTCTTGTGTACAGGACTGAGAGAGGTGCGCTAGATGATAATATAATTCAATGAAGTAGCCAAAATTTGAATAACAGTACATAAAAGAGTCTTGGGTAAGACAGAGGTCAACTTGGAGAGAAAATTCTACAGACACACTGTGGGCTTTCTACCTACTACTGATATAGGCAACACTGTTTCATTTAAAAAAAAAAAAAAAAGTAAATTAATACCTAGAACCTATTCTTACCCAATTTGCCAACTGAGATAGCTGGAAAAGGTAGTAAAATTAATGGCATATAAAAGGACTAAAAAGTCTTAGAACACCTGAAGTTTCAGGCTGATATAAAGAAACAAGAGATTAAAGATAGATAAAGATGAATTCGTTCATGCAGGTTAGGAAAAGTTGCCTGCAAAATGAGTGAGACCTGGATTAACAAACCTTCACATTTTTAGGGATTTCTGTGGGATGAATCTCCAATCTGAACCAGAGCATAATGTGGAAGCTAAACAACTAGCATTATTCATTTTAGGGTGTGATGAAATAGATACAGGGAATATCAAGACAGGAAAGTAAGTATTTCTCTTCCATTTGGGAGCCATATTGTCATGAAGAAAACAGATAATCCAGAGGCCAGACAAAGCAACATGATCAGAAGAAAAGGAAAGCATTTAGAAACCAGGGTAAATGAGAAACACGTGGGATTGGATTAGAAAAGAGATAATTAATCTGACTGGTGTGGCTAAATGGTTGAGTGTCAACCCATGAACCTGGAGGTCACAGTTTGATTCTCTGACAGGGCATATGCCAGGGTTGTGGGCTTAATCCCCATTGTGGGTATGCAGGAGGCAGCCAATTGATGTTTCTCTCTCTTCTCCTTTCTAAAATCAATATAAATATATTTTAAAAAATTAAACCATGGATAAGCAAACTGAATATATAAGGCCACTCCAGGCTTCTGCCAGTTTTGAAAAAAAAAGAAAGAAAGAAAGAAAGAAAGAAAGAAAGAAAGAAAGAAAGAAAGAAAGAAAGAAAGAAAGAAAGAAAGAAAGGTAATTAGAGAAGTGACACAGTAATTGTGCTCATAAGCTGGGGTCAAGAAGCTCTCTGTTGCCCTTGGCCTAGTAAGAGCAAATTATAGGACTATGGATGTCAGCTCAGTGCAATAAAGAGTTTTCTAACATTAGCCTGCCCAGCACCTGCCCTGCAACCCTACAGTAAGCACGGCTGTCCATGTGCACAGGTGGCCCAGAAGATAACCTGTGAGAGGAGAGTTTCACAAGTGTGTCTTAAATTGGTCAAGGTTTGCCAATGTTGCTTTCGTATACCCTGGATGTTTGAAACTGCGGAATGCTGTTAAACAAGGTCATGACACACAAAAAATGAATTCATCTTGCTGCCAAAGAATGTGAAACTAGGTGGATTTTCTTCTTATAGTTTCTCTGTGCCTTGCTTATGTATCTGAAGCACCTTTTTATCACTAAAGAACTCAAAACATGAAGACAATATGTTGCGAGAGAGGGAGGCAATCCCGAGTTATATTCATCGGCTTCTCTCTTTGTTGTTAAAATCAACTGCCCAAAAGAGCAGAACAGAGATCCTTCCACTCTTTAAATTACATTTTTTGATCCCACAGCATTTTCCATTTGAACCTAGAATAGGAACCACTGGCAAAAGTTGTGACCTTTGCATGTTAGTAAAGGTATGACCATAGTCACAATGTGGTTTTTGTAAGAATTCTTCATAACTTCAACTATGCAATGACTTTTACATCAACTTGCCATTGTGGTCCACAAAAATATATTTATTGCATAATTGATTTTATTATTTATTATTTTTTAAAATATATTTTTACTGATTTCATAGAGAAAAGGTAGAGGGAGAGAGAGAAACATCCATGATGAAAGAGAATCATTGACTGGCCACCTCCTGCATGTCCCTGGTAGGGAAATGAGCCCAAAACCTGGGCATGTGCCCTGACTGGAATCAAACTGTGACCTCTTGGCTCCTAGGTCGATGCTTAACCATTGAGCCACACCAGTCTGGCAATGCTGCTTTTCTTACAGAAACTTGCAGTTTTGCAAGGAAAATAAACCTCAAAAACTGTTTAAATTATAGTTCAAGGCATTAATTTAATAAAATGTGATTAATTAATATGTGCTTCACAAAAAGTTGTAAGAGCTCCAAAGAAATATAACTCACCATGAGATGGGAAGGTGGAAGAATGTTGAAAGAGGAAGTGGAAATTGACTTGGATCTTGAAAAAGGGAGAGTTGAAGGGAGAGAAAGAAAAGATGCCATTACAGAAAGATGGAACTGTGTGAATTATCTGTACAGAGCTTCCCTAGAACAAAATACTAGGTTATTATTAGTATTTGGTAAGTAATATTGTCATTTATCTTAAGGGCCATTTTCATCAAGAAGAGAAATTTAATGTTTATTAGCTGTTCTGTGAATTGTGGGGGGAAATATGAGTGGGAACTACTAATGAAATGCCTTATTTATTTATTTATTTATTTACTTACTTACTTATTTACACCTTATTATTCCACAAAGAAACTGAAGCAGCTTCCAAAAATATAAAACACACAGTGAATAAAATAATTATTAAGGAACATGTCAATAAAGCCAGGAGTACAAACAGCACATGCAGAAAAGCAGATTGTAGAGTCTGGACTGGTTGTTAGTCAAAGGTAGGGAGCAGGGGATGGGAGAGATTTAACCTTTCCAGTGTTTGCAAGATTTATCATGCATCAGATGAAAAAGAAAACAAAAATCTTGCAATTCAACAGTCTAGCCTTTCCTAATACTGAAACATGAGAGAAATTTCTCCCTCGAGATGTCATAAAGAAGCCACTGAATGCTGGAGGAGGCGCTGGCCTCAACCCCATCCCCGACCTGATGGTTATAATGAGCAATGTCACATGCTCTTCCTCAGGGGAAGACAAAAGCATCATGCTGAGGCACATGCCCAGTCTCCTGGTAATATAAGAGTAAATTTAGAATATGTGCCAGATTGGAGGGACTCTATATTCATCAGTTCATACTAACTCATCTATTTACTCAAAATGTATTGATTGCATGCAAGGTGACAGAGGTAGGGAGATAACCATGAATAAAACCCAACAGCCATTCTCATGGAGTTAAGTATCCTGGGGGTGGGAGAAGGATCACAGACAAATAAATACATGCGAGTTGGTGGTAAGCCCTATGGGGAAAAGAAAGGCAAGGTAAGGTGATAGAGAACAAGACGGGCAGTGTGAGATTAATATTTAGAACGGTTAGTCACAGACAACCTCTCTGATATGGTAATGTCTGGGCTAAAACCAGCATGACACAGGGAAGGTAAGTATGATATGAGAGAAAAGTGTTGCATGCAAATGGAACAGTTAGTGCAAAGGTTCTGAGTGAGAAGCATGCTCGGCAAGTCTGAGTAGCTGCAAGATAGCCAGCTACTCAGTCATAGGTAGGGTGAAGGCCTTCTTATCAAAGTAAAGGACGCAGGATGAGGTGAGAAAAGGGAATCATAATGGAACCAATGATTTCCTCAGAAAATCCCTACTGTGTCTGTTTCAGTATAAGCCAAAGGCAGCTGAGGTCTGCCAGAGTATATCATAGAATATCACCGTCATCATTTTAGCTTAAAATATTGTGCTAAAGTCTGCATTAAAATCACCCATTATAGACATGGGCTTTTTGCTAAAGCCCACTTACATTATATGTAGAGTATTAGAGCAAGACAACTAACTAGCCTTATCATTTCTGATACTTAAATATTCATAGAATGCTTTAATTTTATTTCCCAGTGAAACCTGCAAATTGAACCTCTATGAACTTGACATGCAGTACCAAGCCATTCATTACATTTAAGCCAACTGAGGGTTCAGGGCATCTTTCAAAGATGCAGAGTTTGATTTTAAAGACAATCTGGCAATTGCATGATAGCCGAACCTACTGTCTATCAAGGGCACTTAAGTGTGTCAACAAAACTTATCATCATTTTAGAGAAGACAACTGACATTTGTTTCCCCACAGCAGGGGGCAGGCATTCAGGACATTGAAAAGTGGTACCAAATCTCTTAGACACCGGTGAGAAGGAGGGAATGAGATACCCCTCTTTGATGCCGAGAGAAATACTGTCTCAGGAGCCTGTCCCGTAAGCCTCTGTGACCTTCTAACTGATATTAAGACACTTGGTCTATAAAATGAGTGGTAATTGACTCCATATTGACTTTAGAGATCTCAGTACATTAACAATTCCCCAGAAAAATGTGACAAGTAGATAGTAATAAAACCAGCACATACTGTGCATTCTTCTTGACATCTTTTGTCTCGAAGTGATAGAGAATATGTCAAAAGGCCTATTATGAACTTTTTTTTTAACTTTCACCTGAGGATATGTTTTTATTGATTTGAGAGAGAGAGAAAGAGAGAGAAACATTGATTGGTCACCTCCCGTATGTGCTCCTCCTGGGAATCAAACTAACAACCATCTGGTGTATGGAATGAAGTTCCAACCAACTGAACCACCAGGCCAGGGCATAATGGACCATTTTCGTCTAAAGACTACCTCCACCAATCAGAGAATATTGGAGTGAGAATACTACATTTGAAATTTTTGTTAAGAAGAAAACTGACACAGAGATTAGCTGTCCAATATGAGCTTATAAACTCAACCATCAGTAGCAAAACTCTGTAGAAAAAAAAAATTATGTGAAATGAAATGGAAACAATCACCTGCTCAGCCAGTAATGAAGCAAGGCTTGAATACGCATCTGCAAAGTCTGGACCATATCGAATGGAATCTTTCAGCAAAGTGACAGCCTCTTCTTTTTTCTCCTGGGACCTGTAGAGTACAAGAGGGAGAGGGGACATCTTTTAATAAAACTTTATTTAAACCTTCTGATTAGACTTCAAGATCTGTTAATGTTAACAAGGATTAACGGATTCACTCAGGGTATCATTGAAAATGAATTGAACTAACACTATCTTGAGTCAACAGCTTCTATCTCTGAATTCTTGGAACAAGATGTTAAGACGTAAATGCTGCTGCAGATTATTCAGTGATTTATTTACCTTCTACATCCTGCTGTGCACTTTTGGGGAGTTGTTATTTCATATCTCACAAGTGTGTTAGCCAGAAAGGTAAGCCCTCAGAGCAGCAATGTGGGACCTTCCCTGAGTGCACGGGAACCGTAACTAGGCTGTGGAAGATGACTTGAGGCCCTCTAGTACCAGCTGCATCGCTGCGGACCAGGTGCCTTATGGGGGCTGAGCCACACCACCTATCGGGGACAAGCCAGCCAAACTGCCCATGTCAGTCTTTGTTTTTCTAAGAGAGATACATTTTTTACACATAGCTTATAAAATGACTATGGCTGGCTAAGAACAATCGGCTATGTTATCATATTTTGATGCAGAATTGAGGCTGCATCTGTGTTCTTCATTTTAATCTTCTCCCAGGGATTGTGCTTCTGGTTCATAAAGGACTCAAGGCCCCCATGTTATTCCCATTATTTGGGGTGAGAGTTCTGTCTCCTATTAGTGCCTTGGGGAGACACTGGGTTGTTTTCTTGATATCAATATATTTGAAACAAAAAAATGTACACAGGCAATGATCAACTTTGCTGCTAGTACAGTTTCACAAACACTGATCCCTTGCTAAGTGGTAGATATTGTAACTGGCAAAAGAAGAGGAAGGAAGATTGGAACTCCTGGAACTACAGAGTACAAAGCCAAAAGGTCCCTCTATCTTTCCCCATTACCAATGCTGAATCATGTGCCTATGTCCTTTCTATTTAGAATCAACAATTGTTTCATCAGCAATGAATATCTACCATATGCTCTGGTAAATTTTCACATAACATTATTAATTTTATTCTTACAGCAATCCCATGCAGCAGGTATTAATGTCTTATTATACTAATTTTTCTCTAATGAGAACATTTAGATGCAGAAGAGTCAGGTGACTCATCATATTCACATAATCCATCTTCTGAGTCAAGAGCCAGTGCTCGTCTATCACACCACTCCTGCTTCTTCTCTCTACTCATAAATCTACCTCTGTGACCTTGCTGCTCCACATGTGATTCATGGACCAGGATCACCAACATTACTCAGGAGCTTGTTAACAAGGCAGAGTCTCAGGCTCCAGCCAGACCCATTGAATCAGAGCCTGCACTTACAACAGACTCTTGGGGAATCTGTACCCATGCCGAAATTTCAGCATCACTGCTCCATGAATTATCTAAGGCAGCTTCAATCTCAGGAGGACAAAGCTCTACAGCGGGAAAACTAATATTGACTCCTTGTGTCCGAGTTCCAAGTGTTAGAAGCAGCATATCACAAGGTGATTTTACCTAGAAGATAGTCTTTTATCACAGACCTTGAGAAATATAAAAGTCATGTTTCCAGCACAGACCTTGCATTTAACTATTCAATTTGGCAAACATTTATCACTGTCTCTATGTGTTTTAGCTATTTCCCAAGGGAGGTGGCTGTCCGTCACATCCTCCCTTTATTGGGTTCTAGCTCACTCCTACTGGGCTCCTCTCAATGCAAAATATCAAAGTGTGACACCGTGTCCTTCAGTAGATCGTCCTTGGGATGTGGCTTGAAAGTTGCATGGTTATAAAAGAGCTGCATTACAGCTCTCTTGGTGCTGCTTTTCCTGTTAATTCATTTAGTCAACAAACACTTAAAGAGTGCCCAAAAGACTCTATAGAAGTGCACATGTATACTTACTCCCGTGTTTCTATTCTAAAACATTTCTTGAGGTATTCTTCCAGCGGCACAACTTTTTAAATAAAAATTTATTTTTTTTAATCCTGGTAATTTTACTATTGATTTCATGGCTAGCAGAACTCTTCCTCCAAGGATTTTTTAAATCTTTATTAATATTAATTTGGAAATCCTCTCCAAATCCAAAGGGGGATATGGACTAAGGAAATTAAGGCTGAAAATTAAGTCCCTCAGGACATAATTTAGCTTGGATAGTCTTCAAGATCTGCAGGAGGCAAAAAACCACACGCAACAATTTGATAATAAAATTTAATGATTTTCCATTTGTCATGCCTCATATCAGTTCGAATGGCAATGCAAGCCTTTTATACAAGAACACAGTGAGATTAATTACCACTGAATACAGTCTATGAACCTGTATACCTAAGGTCATCCATTAACATTCTTGTGACACAATAGAAAAGTTAGCATCAAGGTTCTTTATAGGGAATGTGGATCCTTTATGAAAAACTGCATTTCTGTGAATCTCTCAAGGGACTGATTGACACTTTCAGGAAACCTCTGTATTTCTCAATTTTGTTAGTATATGAGCACTGCAAGATGTTTAACCAGCTCACAGCATGGTGGCCTCATCAGAGTTCACAAACATGTAACAAAACCAGAAACCACACATATGCTACCTTTTTTATAGTTTGCTTTTCTTTTTCTATCTCCATAACAAAGTAGATGGTATGGGAGTCACTGTGAGAAGTCCTATCCTGGCCTCCAAGGGGCAGCTGCTCTTTGTTCTTCAGCTCAACATTCTAAGAAGTAACTGGGCCCCAGATTATTTTTCTCTTCCAAGGTCCTGGCAGGCACAGCATGCATTCCCAATACTGTGCCCCATGGCAGGGTGTAAGCCTGTGTATCAGTGAACGTGCCAACCAGGCAAGTTTTTCAAGCTTCATCTTTCCCAACAGTTGTTTGCTGCACATGTACCCTCTGCTAAGGACAGAGTGATTCCTTTGCACCATTCATTTAAATTCCCCTTTAAGTGGTATGAATTGGGCATAATTATCTTTATTCTCAATGCTAGCAATCACCACCCCAACAATACAAAACTGAGCTTTGGAGAGCTCAAGTGGTTTGTGCACGGCTCACAGCTACACCAGGCCCATGCTCTGCACTTTCGTGTCCACTCTCTCACATGCCGTGCACTGTCTGTGACCACTTTTAAATCCCTTCATGGACAGGACCCATGTCTTATTCATCTTACTTGCTTCTCCTATCCCAGGGATCTGCACATAATGGAAATTCAAGAATTGCTCAATTATTTTTTAAAGGCCATCGTTTTACTATTTTCTTTAGTCCTAGATTTTTTTGTACATCTCCTGAAATAAACTTCCCAATATTCTAATAAAAATTTGACAGTTGAGGATAATATAATACATTTTATAGCTCTTTCTACACCTCATTCAATATTATAGAAGTGATTCTAAGGAAGGCAGAAGTACCCAAGGCTTGGAATCATAAAAAAAAAAAAATTATAAGTTTAGTGTCCATTTGTTGAGCACTTCTTACTTACTAAGCACTGCTAAGCAGCTTCTCTACCTTAAATATATATAGCAGTTAAAAGCACAGACTCAAAAACCAGGACTGGGTTTGGACTCTACTACCATTTGCTAGCTGTTTCTTTAGGCAAATTATTTAACCCCCTGTGTTTCAGGCTCATAGTAGGTACTGTGTATATTTTGGCTTTTATTAACTCATTTAATGTTTCTTTAAAAATCACCCATTAAAACCTATCTCTCCCTTCCTTAAAATTAATTTTTAAAACGAGAAGAATGCGGTGTTTTTGAAAATCCCTCAAAAGTAATATGCGTTCACATTTTAAACATCCACAAAAATTTAGGTTAGATACTGGAGTGATATTAGATATCTGATGTCACAATTGATTTTTAATATGATAATCATCATTAAATTCACCAACAAACAGCACTGTACGAAGTGTAAAATAACACCAGTAACAAACCGAGGCATTATCCTGGAAACCTCATTCCAAGGCAAACACTGGGCTGAGGAGGCCTAAATGGCAGCCCACAGTTCAGAGTCCACTCAGCAGGGGGCGAACCCACCCAAAGCAGTGCGTCTTGTGTGATCGCTAAGGGCAGGAAAGAATCAGGAGCAATTCTGAGCCTCTCCTTCAGCTAAGCCAGGAAAGCTTCTTAGAAAGGAAAGGCTGAAGCAGTTATTTCCAAGTAAAAAGGCATAACAAGAGAGGCAGACAATTTCAGATGGACACAATGAAACTCCTTAATAGTGGGAATTACCTGTGTATTCTGACAGCACAGACCACCGCAGGGCTAGCAGGAGACAGTGATAAAGCTTCCCAGTGCATTTGCTGTGGCTCTAGAAGAAGCTATTTGGGGAAATCAGTAGCCCATTGTTGATGTGAACCCCATCTACAAAGAGCTACTCATTTACACTGAATCGACAGGTCCATGCCAAACGGGGAAATAGAGAAAGACCATGTGCTTCTGAACTGACCAAGCATATGATTTAGGTAACCAAGTCCACAGGCTGTTTCTCCGAATTCAATGGAAAAAGCTTGAAGGAAGGAATCCATGACTGGCAAACAAACTGACCAAATCAATCTCAGTACATACCCCCGTCCACTTAGCCATGGGCACACTTTCTGTGGAATCAAAGGGGCACGGAATCCCTTAGGAAACCCATGTCACACTAAGCATCCTGAGGACACTCAGAGCTTTGGTTAGGGGTTCCATTGGCACTGACAGGACTGTCAGGGACACCTGGGTAAGTGAGGGAACTAGGTGGGAGTAAGACTGCTCCAGGGTTAAGTAATGTCTCTTGTCCTCAGCATCCTGCACTTCCTTGTCTCCTAAATGAGCCACCAACTGATGACTGATTATCCTCCAGGACCTAAAATATTTCATCTTCACTTTCCTGTGGGTCAACAGTTCTCAAATTTTAGTGCTTAAAAATAATTTAAGTGTTTGGTAAAATGCAGGATCCCAGATCTTATAAGATACGGTAGGTCCTAGGTAGGGACCTGGAATCAATATTTAAATAATTGATATATATATATGATTTCAGAAAGGTAGA